GGTTGGAACCTGATGATCTTTAGGGTCCCTTCCAACCTTAATGATTCTATGAGTCTAGGATCAGAATGAGACACAGGCAGTAACATGTTGCCACTTCTCACATCCTCTCCTGGCTGAATCCCTGTTCAGGCACACCCCAAACAGCTCGTGGGTGTTTCCTGTCTGTGTTGGGGCACTACCCTGCACCTGCAGCACCATCTGCACCCTCAGCCTTGCTGAAGTGGGAATCACTGCCGTGGCTGTGCCACTGGAAAGGGACATCTTGAGCCCTTTGGGGAGAGACTGTCCCCCTTTCCCAGTGCAGGCTGGTGCTCTCCTGCCACCTTCTGCTCCTGCAGAGCTGGAGCATTTGATCACACCGCTGTGTGAACAAACCCCTTTCTCTGCCTTTGCTCCCCGGGGGAGGCAGGGGGAGGGAACTCCCCAAGCCCACCCAGCTGTGCACCCTGGAAGGGCAACGCCTGGAGGGCAGCACTTACACCGAGGAAATGGGGCAGCTCGTTGTTCATGAGCTCCTTCAGCTCGGATTTCTTCAGCTTGTGCTTGTCTCCCTCCTTCCCTGAGTACTGGTGGAAGGCATCAATGATGGCAATCATGGCCTTCTCCAGCTCAGACATGGTCACAGCGTGGCCCTGGGGTGGGGAGGAGCAATGGGTGGGTTAGTCTGGGCAAGCTCCAGTTGGTGCCTTTTTTTCTTGGCAAGTGCAGCCACCCTGGAGATCCAGCACATGCCAGCAGTGCTGGGCCCTCTGCCCCAAACGTGCTGCAGGAAAGCAGCCCTGGCTGCAGCCATGAAGATCCCAAGAGACCCTGGCTGTGCCTCCAGGACAGAGGACAGTGACAGCACAAGGAGTGCCTGGGATGGACTGGCAGGTGCTGGGAGCTGACTCATCCCCTGGGACCTGTTTGGCACCTCTGTGTGGGCAGAGCAGTGGAGGGAAAAGGAGGAGAGGCTGGAAAGCCTTTGTGGCTTCCAGCAAGATGCTCCTGCTTGCCCTGTGCATGGACCTGGCTAGCAGGAGCATGTTGTCACTTCAGCTTTTTGGCTCCTGCTGCTTAACCCAATGCTTTGCTCTCCTTGCTCTGGGAGAGGGGTAGGCAGGGCTTTCATTTCTGCAGGTGGAGCTTCAGACAGGCTTTACTGCCCTGTGTTGTCACCGGGTGCTCTTGCCTGTAGGCCTGTTTTCAGCTGAGCAGCCAGGGGCAGGCCCCAGCTTTGCTGGGTGCCAGCAGGACAAGATAAGCACGTCTCCTCTAACTTCCCTCCTGCACTTGATCTGATGACACTCGGGGATGTGAACTGGGATT